TAATAATATACTTATATCTTTTCTGTCTTAATTTAAATTATGATTCGTTTAGTAGTTTCGGAGCCTATTCTATACAAACAAACAAATCTTTTCTCTCAACATCTTTGGTCGGGAAGTCTTTTGTCCTTGAATAAAAATAAGTATTTATCCTATCTGCTCTTTCAGAGTATCCTCTACATGTATTACAAACATCTACACTTTCGCATTAATATCTAATATGAGCTGTTGCCCGCGACTTCGTCCGCGTGGTATTATAAAACATACAAACTATAAAAATTACAAAAAGTTACGTAACCGGACATTTATCGGGGATAAAGCTTATCCCATGTGTACTCCAGACTTTGTTTTATATCTGTGCCAAATTTCAATAAGATATGTTGAACCGTTGCAGAATGATCGAGTAAACATTAAAAAACTAAATTAATGAATCCCACGGGAACCGTAACTATTCCCGGGATAAAAAGTAGCCTATGTGTTCTTCCAGACTATGCTCTAACCCTGTGCCAAATTTCATAGTGATCCGTTCAGCCATTTAGGCTACAAACGCTAACAAACATCCATCCATCTAAACTTTCGCATTTATAATATTAGTAAGAAATAAGATTAGTAAGATTATTTACGAAATATGCACTCTCACAGCTTAATATAAGCAAAATCAAGACTCAAAGGATGCAATATCAATGCTGTCAGCCACGTTAGTTACGTCCCGCCGCTAGTTTCATGTTAAATCCACTTTGAACCACTCCGAACCGGTCGTAACCGGTTCGAACCGGCGCTGGGAACTTTGACTATTTGAACGGAGAGTGATAATTTAAAAAGGAAATTTCGCGAGATATTCCTTTTAGTACGCTTTTCTGACAGGAAAGTAGTAAATCTGTAATGCTAGTTATACACGTGTGTAGAACATGAAGAAGACAAGCCTATGTCTATATCGTTGGTAGTATTTTCAGACTTCCTCTGAAACATTCGCATTGAACGGCACAGCTTGCTTTCTCTGTTAGGCACACATATGCCAGCTATTAGCAGATTTGTATGGTAAGCCAGTAACTGACAAAGTAAATAGTCAGATAATTAGTGTTATTTTTTTATAACATAAGATGGCATAATGGCGAACCGACCGCTGCCCATAGACATCCGCAATTGCAGATGTGTTGCCTACCCTTATCCGACGGAGGAGGAGACGCACATAAAGAGGATATTTCCCCTTCCTATGCATTTAATCCACCGTCAAATCCAAGTCCCCTTCCTATGCAGTTAATCCACCACCAAATCCACTTCCCCTTCCCAACCTCTCCTTGTAAGAAGGGTAGTAAAGAGAAAGGGACTTAAATTAGGCCTCCTGCACTACACTTATCAGGCGAAACACGGAATTGGTTCCATTTCACGCCTGTCTTCTGTGTGGTCGTGGTATTACACCGGGCGTGCCGGCCCTGCAATGCTAAGATGTTAAAGCGGGTACTATCACTGTCATTTCAACGCTGTTATTTCAACAAAGAACATTCTATACATTTATGTTTGAAAACTTGGTGTCATTAAACATACTTTGTAGTTACGTTCATGTAACTTGAAGTAGTGGAATTCAGATACAATGGAATACTGTAGGTTTACTATACAATTCAGAATGATAGAAAAGTAGAAAGAAATGCACTTACTGCGGTTATTCTGCGCATGTACAGCAGCTAAGAGAGTGAGCAGGAGCCAGAAGCCCGCCATCTTCTCTCAGCTAGACGATAAC